CCCCCAACCACACCCTGCGGTGCGTTCCCGCGTCTGCTTTTACACGTCACACATTCGCTCCATGATCCATCACAGCCTAGGCGATCATAAATATTATATGACCGTCTAGATCACAGCACTGTGACCTCTCCATCCCCGCATCGGAGAAGTGAGAGGCATGATAGGCCTAGATAATCTAGACTAGGCTGGCCTATTTCTATCAGGCAATGCGTTCTGCTTCACAACGGCTTGTCTGCGCATGCCACACCCTCCCCACTCATTCTCTCCGGCCTTAATTGTTGACACACGTGGCCTCTCCCATTCTTAGTTTCGCTAGATCACCAACAAGTTTCTCAACTGGCGAGGTTTTACATGAATAAATGGTCTATACGCTGTGCACAGCAGCAGCAATATTCCGCTATAACCGACTCGGGCGTTTATCTGATTGCGCTATAGCAGTATTTTATTTACAGAGATACAGAAGGGGAAAAAACGGGGTTTTAGAATAATGTCTTTATAACAGACTTCTCGTTATTTCAGAACGCGTTATAAGTGGACTCCACTCTACCAAATTTCAGCTTTCTACCTTTATTCCTTCATGGTCAGGTCAAAACTTTTGGTATTCTCCTAGCCGTGTGATTCAACCGGCCAAGTCATAGTGACAACATTTGGGAAAATCACTACTGTATCCCTTTGTGTAGCACAAGGTTAGATACATCGTATATTAAAATACCGATTTTAAAAGTCTATTGCAAAGTGTTTTAATACTTCAGTAAATCAATCGTCCATGTCCACCAGTTTGAAAATTTTACGTGATTCAACCGCCTAAGGACCAGCTTGGCTGCGCGCGACGAATGGGCGGTTGAATCACGCAGACTCTGAGGCTTGTGAAGTGCTCACCTGTCACGTAGTTAGACCGACCTTCTCGACTGTGACCTTTGTCAGGGCGCACTGGAGGGCAACAACAACAACAAAAAGTGTCACCTTTGTTGACATGGACACAGATTGACACCTACTTGGGACCAGAACTGTTCGCATACACAGCCGGCGTAATCTACTCACACCTAGGGTGGGGGGTGTTTTTGAGAGCCGACATCAGAGAAAACGTTCACATTGATTTGACCAAGTCGGGGAATTGTTGCACAAACTGATGACCAATGAATTCCAACCTGTCTGTGATTGACAACCTGTCTGTGATTGACAACCTGTCTGTGATTGACAACCTGTCTGTGATTGACAATCAGTTGAGGGTTATTTAGTTTTGAGTAGAGTACACCTATTGGTCAATATCACTTTGGATATATGGGATATTGGTGGGGTATATGGGATATATGGGATATATGGGGTATATGGGATATATGGGGTATATGGGATATATGGGGTATATTGGGTATATGGGGTATATGGGATATATGGGGTATAGCTGGGGTGTATGGGGTATATGGGATATACGGGGTATATGGGGTATAGCTGGGGTGTATGGGGTATAGTTCGGGTATATGGGATATATGGGGTATAGCTGGGGTGTAAGGGGTATAGTTCGGGTATATGGGATATATGGGGTATGTGGGATATATGGGGTATAGCTGGGATATGGGGTATATGGGGTATTGGTGGGGTATATGGGATATATGGGATACATGGGGTATAGCTGGGATATGGGGTATGGCTGGGGTATGGGGTATATGGATTTTATGGGGTATATGGGATATATGGGGTATATGGGATATATGATGTATAGCTGGGTTATGGGGTAAATGGGGTATACGGGGTATACTGCCGTCAGCTGACAAAACGCCTTTTTTTTGTCCAGAGC